ATATATATATATTATGAAATGGACGAAATCCGACAATTATTTTAAGATATTTTTATGTTTATACATTCACGCGTTATCCGAGTTTGATTCCATAGCCTAGAAGCTCCCTTGGATCACGCGTGATCCAAGTTTGATTCCGTAGCCTGGAATCATCCACCGTCACCAGTCTGACCCAGTCTAATGACAATCTTTGAAACGTGTTTGCTGCTTGTATATTCAGACAATTCAATTAATGTTGTTGTATAGGAGTAAAAATATCGCTGGCGAAACTGTAATTTGGACATAGATCGTCAGAAATGCAAACACAGGCGACACTTTTCTGAATAAGTAGATCAAGTGATAGTAAATTATATATATATATATATATATATATATATATATATATATATGAAATGGACAAAGTCCGACAATTATTTTAAGACATTTTTCATGTTTATACATACTTTTCTTTTCTCCATGTTTGTACGTTAATAATAGTTAAGTCCGACCCAGAATCCAACTGTAGTCTGACTTTTCTGTTTTGCATTTCTACTTGCACGTATTTTCTTATGTTAGTCTCATCCGCTTGATCAGTCCTCGTGATTCTTATTCTGCTTTTGCTTTCTCTTCTAGTCCAACAATGAGAACTTTTATGTCCTACTTTTTTGCATCATAGACAAGTTTTAAAACGGTATGGACATTCTTTATACCAATGCCAAGTCCCCCAGCGATAGCATGGACTGGCTGGTAGTTTTTTCTGATATTGACTTTTTGAAGTAGAAAAATTTGTTTTATCAGTTTTTGAGGAGGGAAAATTGGTTTGGTTTGTTTGTGAGAAAAGAAAGTTGGTTTGTCTTCGTACTTTACGTATGTGCGCGATGCCAGCTTCTTCTATATCTTTTGAGTCTTTCTTTACACTTATGCCTCTCTGGCAGTCTTCGGCCAGTTTTTGAAATGTCAAATCTTGTTCACTCTCCAATTTTGTAAGGATTCTGCGTCTAATTTCCGCGTCTTTGGTTGAAACCAGGCCTTGGACGTATATTAAACATTTGAAATTGTCAGGGCTGAGTTCCGATAACTTGAAATCATCACAATATTTGTTTACAATGGAAGCGAAAGTTATGTAATCTTCGCTCTCCTTTTTTGTTAGATTCAGACATTTCCATCTTTTGTGGAATAGTGAGGTATTAGGGCTGAAAAGTTCTGTTAACAGTTTTATGGCTTCTTTGAAAGTTAACTGATTTGTTTTCCTCGGTAGGATACAATCTACGTATTTGGTATAGTCGCATGTGCCTAATTTTCTTAGTAGTAGTCGTACTTTTCTTGCGTCTGACTAATTTCTGCAGTCAAATTCATATAGAACTTCGTACCTTCGGAAGTAAGTTGCAAAGGTTTTGTCTTCGTCGGGTGCACACGTGAAATCTTCGATAGTGCTCCAAATAGCGTCTTGTGAGAGAAATGTTTCATTTTCGGAATTTTGCCCTTTATTTGACATTACACGTAGCAATAATTCTTGTTAATTCAGGATGTTTCTGTTCGTTTTTCCACAATGGTTGACTTAAAATCTTCCATGTTAACGTAATTTTGTGTAAGTATTTTCCTTTAGTGTAGCCTGATATTCTGGAACCTGTGTACGCCAAAAAAAAAAAATTCCCTGTGTAGAACTTGTGTCTTTGTTACCACAGTAAAGTTGATGTCCAAAAAAAAATATTTTTTCCTTTTTTTTATATGTTCGCGTAGAACTTGTTTTTTTAGAAATCTCTACGTAGAACTTTTTTTTTAGAATCTCCACGTAGAACTTGTTTCTTCAGTTTTCTCGTCGACGCTGTTATGTGCGACGGATGGCAAAAAGGTTTGTCCTCCGCGTAGAGAGTTCTTTTATTTATTTATTTTTTTTTTTTAGGGTTTCCTCGTCGCCACTTGTTATTGTCCAAGTTCCTTGTACCACGGGGATGGTCCAAGGTTAGAACCAATGAAAGAATAACACGAACACAAGTATGGAATACAAAGATATATTACAACAGAAATATAATTCAAAGTAGATGTATTGGTAATGACTATCAGATTTGATTAGAGTTAAATATATTGTCTCGACAAGTATCATTATTCCAATTTCCTTACAATATGCTCTCAATTATCTCTCTTCGTCTTACAATCTCCTCATACCTCTTGAGAGGCGCAGTATTTATAACGTCAGGAATAGTCCATTATTATTGTGGGTAAGTTCCCATAACACACACACACACACACATATATATATATACATATATATATATATATATGAAGGAGGCATAGTGGAGTAGTGGATAGCGTTCTGCAACAGAGATTTGCTAGCCGCCTTAGAAGACAGATGCATTCGGATACGAGGTGCCAGCCATTATGATATATACTTTCCACATACAAAAGTAAGTAATGATTAAGAAAACAAACATAAGATAAAAAATAGCTGTACAAAATCTTTTCATAAAAATGGTTCAGATAAAGAGACATAAGATCTGAAAAGAAAAATGAAAGAAAACTA